AGGGCTCCTGTTTGGTCTACACGGTGGGGGTCAAAGGCAGGAAAGTTGAGGTCCTCAGTCAATAGGGGGCTGACATGACCATATTTTGACCACAGCTCACATCTGACCAGGGTATACATGGGGTCCCATCGGAGGTTGCGTTTGAGTTGGTCCTCCTCGGAGCAGCGGGTCTGCAGTTGGGGACTCTTCCTTTGAGCTGGGACACCACTTAAAGTAACTTCTCAAGATTGAGAGTCCTCCCTTTTTAGGTGAGTGAGTGTGCATTTTGGATCATTTGGCCTAAAACATAAAATGCTTAGCTCAGCTGTGTGTGGTAATACTCCCAACCAGCACATCGAACCTGTATTTGTTAAATGTTAGAGGAATGTTGTTTTGGTGAACGAGGTTTTGGCTGCTTGATTTCAGTTGCAGATTAAAAGCTTGTTTGAACTCATTATTTGTGTGTGTAGCCATTTTGGTGCACTTCCATGACGTCCAGACAAGGTCAAACCATCAGCACAAAAAATAAGTAGCTTTTATCAGGTACACATGTAACTAGGCACCAAGGACAGCAAAATACCTATTCCTGAAACAGCTCTAAAATATAGGGAGAAAAAAAGCCATCCATGCTGACAGAACCATTCAGAGCTCATCATCAGTAGTCACTGTCCCTGTGAATCCTACCATGAAGATATCCCAGACTGTAAGAGGAGCCTGAAGCTGTAAGAAGACAGTAAGGTATGGATTTCACAAAGACATCATACAGCAGAAAAATCTTGACTTATGACTGTCTTCCTCATTTTGACCTTCACCATGCATCACTATAGTAAATTATGGTTATGCTGCACCACTGTAGTAAGTTACTGTTATGCATTTAGCATAATGTTCAGCAATGACAGGAGCAGAGCAAAGAATCACTAATGATGAGCAGCTAAAGAAAAGGTCTATCTGTGCCCTAGGACCTCTGAGATGACACAGGAAACGAAAGCTCTCAAACAAGGCTCCTCCTCAGGTTTAAGGGGTATAGACTGTGGACACAGAAAGAGCAGAAAGGTCAGGTGCAGTACTTCAAGAGCAGGGCAGGGTGCTGCTCCTCGACAACCAAAAGTTTGACAGAGACAAGTAGAATCTGCTTTCTTTTCCCCCAGTCTCTGTCCACAGCAACAGTCTTTTTCCCCATCACATCTAATTATGTCTCTCCTCTCCTCCTCCTCTGTATGATGTGTGCAGAGTAGCAAAACTGAGATATCAGGCAATTTCACTCATCTGAAAGAGCCGAAAGGTCTCTTTCACACTGCTTGCTCCACCTGCACAAACACACGGTTTATCCCGGCACCTCAGGGAAACTCCCCATCCCACCGCATGTGAGGAGGAGCAAGAATAAATGCAGCAGCTGGGAGTACATGTCACCAGCCCTGCACAACAGAGCAACAGGATGTACTCTCCTCTGGAAGGAACCAGGAGGAAGGAACAGTGCTTTCCGCCTTCTCCCCAACACCCTGTGGTTTCTTTCACAAAGGGCTCACTCCAGCTATCTCTGACTTTGTTCAGAGTGATGCAGCTGTAGAACAAGGAGAGCAAGGATGCACACAGTTGGATCCATACACTTACAACTACAAAAACACTGGAAGTTAAATGTCCAGATTTGCCACTCTCACCAAGTATCTGCTGAGCCTCAAGGACAGCTCCACAACTACTATTGAAAGAGTTTTGCTGAGCAGTAAGAAGCCTTTTTTCTTCAAATTAGATATCTTTCTCCAAGACTAATTTGTATCTTTGTACTGAATTTTCACACCTTATGACTTCTACTACTCCACACACTACACAAATAACTGACAACTCAAGAGCATCTGCTTTTATTTTGAATTATAATGGAAGCATTTCAAACAGTGCAATAGCTTTGTGTGGTAAAGGCAGAAAGTGACAGGAGACAACACACTACTGCACAAAATGCATTCCACGATAATCTATCATGATCTAGATCAATGAAGCACAAATACAAGAACACTGGCTAGAGAAACTACCCTGTGTATTTGCTACAGCAAGAGGAGAATCCCTTCATAGACAATAATGAAAAAAAATCTAAAACCCTGTTCAAAGCTGAAATGATTTTTCTGAAAACTTTTCAGATATCACATTAATCACTGAATATGAGCTATTACCTGCAGTATCTCAATGACTCACTGAACTGAGAAGGACAGAGGTGCAAGGCCAAACTGGCATACTTGCTTCTGGCTTGTTTAATGACTGATTTAACAAAGCAGACTGCACTTCCACTGAGCCCTTCACATAATTGTATGGCTTTCTAGTGCCTCGAATTCTATAAACAAGCATAGAATGAGGAATTAATTTTAATTATTTGAAAAATGAAATCACTGGAAAAGGTTGGCCAGAAAGGTTTTGCTGTCTCCATTCTTGGAGGTTTCCAGCAGTTTCCAGCAACCTGGTCTGATCTCCCAGCTGACCCTGCTCTGAGAATGGGGTTGAATTGTGGGCCTTCTGAGGTCCTCTCCAACACAAATTATCCTACAATGCTTTGAAACCATAACAAGCAAAAGCTATAAGCCACTTTAAAATGTCACTCAGTCCATCTCTCTACCTACAGGCAAGATGAATTAGACATAAATTATTCTGAAAATATACAAACCTAATCTGTTCTCCTCCAGTGACAAAAAAAATACCAGAAAGTATAAACAAGTCTTAGAGGTTTTGAGACTGTATTTTCTTTCTCCACTTCTGCAGACACACTGCTCTAAGGATAGGAACAAAAAGCCGCAAGACAAATAAATAAATACATGGAATTTTTGTTCAGTTATGAGCTTTCATCCAGAGTAACTAAATATTTTAATAAATATTTACAGCAAGAGAAATTTTTAAGGAGCTACTACAGTTAAGATTAACAACCAAGATATTTATTTCTATTCTCACCACATCTGAAGGGCAAGTAGCAATGATAAAGATACTGTATACTTCTGGGAAGTGACTGGTAAGTTATGAGATGTGGACAACTCAGAGCTTAGGAGAAAATAATCAATCATGCAAGCTTGTTGAAAAATTCATCAAGAGGTTCTCAAGTTTGCAGTAATATCCTGACAAATAAGTAGTGTTCTGACTAAATGTATTAATCTCTTATCTGTTTGACAATACTGAAGTATTTTTAACTTTGCTTCTCTTCATCCATTTCCACAAAGCAATAAATAAAGCAAAGATCCTAACTACTAAAACAAGACTAAAAAATGAAGTGGCTTTAGCCAGCTCCACATGAACAACACAAGGCTATATCCAGCCAAGTTCTGAAACCCTCCAAGCATGAAGACTGCACAACCTGTGTGAGAAACCTTTTCCACTGCTTACTATGCACAAAAAACTTGCTAAAGGGCCAGAAAAATGAGTTAATGTGTGGTCCTCCCATGTAAGTTACAACTGTTTAATAAATTTGCCTTTTAGGTTCACATTGTCAGAGAGCAGGAAGGGCCAGCTGGTTCTGCAACGGAAGGCAAGCTGGGAAATGAGTGTGAAAACAAAGCAGGTGAGAGCACTAAGTCAGGAGGACTGGGAATGCTCAATGGCATGCCCAGGTCAGGACTGGGTCCAGAGACAGTGATCAGGGCGAGAAGCAGACCAGGGATCATACAGCAAGTCTTCAGTGTCAAGGCAGTTCCAAGATTAGGCCAGAAAGCCCTGCCAGCAGGTCCAGGTCCAGATCAGGATCAAGTATGAGACAGGAACAGACATACCTGCTTACACAGCTGCGACACAGCACAGGCAGTAAAGGACCAGATTAAAAGCAGCTCCTAAAGGAAAGGAGGGTCAGGCCTTTCCTTCTAACTTTACTCTCAGCACCTCCACTCAGTGCAGAAGATGACCTTGAACTGCACTAACTAAACTCCTAGACAGGAGATGCACTCACAGCCTGGCATGGATGAAGTGCAGAGCGCAAAACCCAGTGTAAGCTCAACACATTTGTACTTAATTTGGGGTTTTTTGGGTGTTTTTTTGGTCTCCTACTTAAGATCAAAATAATAGCTTCCACACACAGTCACTTCATTTTTCTTCCCCTCACTGTCATCAACTCTACCAATTGTTTAATGAAAAACAGTATCTGTTCCTATGAACCTTGTTTACTCTGTACGTTTAGGAATTTCACAGCTATACTTCCCTAAAGTCTTTAAGGGCCCTACAGTATTTTTTTGAAATAACCCTGCCTCATTCATTAAATATGCTATCTTGAACAAGGCTATTTTTACTCTATCATATTCAAAAGGCCATCACTTACATTCCACACTTAGCGAGACAGAGTTACTGCTTTTGTCATTATATACCCTCTTGCCTACCAAGATTTAATACAGGCTCAGTAACATCGGAAAAAAACCTCATTCTCCTCATAATTATACCAGCACATGTGCAAAAAGTAGTTCTCCAAATCTCTCTCATTCCCAGGTGGAAGTGTTTTATATTTAGTTTATATCTCCCTTCTCCTGCCTCATTTAGCTAGCACAGTTTAAATTTAGTATCAAATCTGCTCTACAACAACAACAAATTTCAGTGTTTTTTGATTTCTGTATTTCAACTATAAATCCACTATCATTTTTGTGTGCTACATTAGATGTTTATGACTACCTGGAAATTAAAAACCTAGCACCACTCTGAACCTAGCCAGTTTAATCATGGTAGCTCTAGTAACCACAAGACTTGAGAACTCAAGAACGTCAGAGAGGACATTTAAATCTATGCCAGCAGTGCACATCATGCCCACAGCTGTGCTTTCTTCACATCTCTTCCCCAGCATTCAAGCACATATATCACTCACTCCAGAGGTAGTAAACAAATGACTGCCTGCTATCAAGGCAGGCTGAACACAGGTCAGTGTTGAAGTTGAGAACTTGATGGACCTCTCCAGCAGAAACAGCCCAGTTCTACTTCCTTAATCATTATTCAGTATTTAAGAACAAGTGACATATACTATCTGAAACACAACCCTTTCCTAAGACAGTGAAAATTTAAGACCTCAGTGTTGATGGTCATGGCCAAGACAGGTAGTAAATCTGGGACACCTGTAGTTTACTCAGTAAAAACAGTGCACCTCCACTGGAAGGCACAGAAGTAAGGAAAGGGATCTGAAAGCTGTCATCAAGCAAAGACTTCCCTGCTTTTCCTACAAGATAAAGGAAAAAGATTAAATGGCTTATTCAAACAATTAAAATCTGTTACTAAACCAGAAAGCTCTATCTTAAGAAGTGTGGGTAGTTTTAGAGTTGCACTTTGAATTACTCAGGTAAGGAAGAGCTGGAAAGTGTACATAACCACCCAAAATCATCTGTGGCTTCTCCTGAGGTCACTAGTCTATGATACTCTCAAGATATACATAAATACCTAAAAGGTTGAGTGCCTGCTACTGTCACAAGAGGTGTGAGTAAACAGGGGAACCTGCACTGCGAGGAGAAAAGCGTGGGGGGAAGCTACCTTTATGTGTTCGGGAGATGGGGGTCCCATCTTTTCAAATCAGGTATACAAAATGGAATGGAAATTGATGAGCGTTCATCTCTATCTCATATGGATCCTGCATCTATAGTTTAGTGACTACCAGTTAATTGAGTGCCATCAATATATGACTGCCAGTTAATTATGTGTCACTAATAAATCAATAAAACAATTCAATTCTCTAGACTTTGAACTCAAAGAAAAGGGAAGGAGAAACTTAAGTATAGCCAAGAAAAATAACTGATGAAGAAGTAGGCTTTGTAGGTTGTTAGGTTTTTAATTTTCCCTGGTAGTGCAGATCAGAATGCCACATACTGAGCAAGCCTACATACAGAGTGCATGAAATTAAGCATAATTTCTGGAAGAACTTTCTTCCATCCTTGGATCTAGAGTCCCAGACTGGAAAACCTATTCCAGAACAAACTGGGAAAAATTTACCAACTGAAGACAAAGCACTTAGATTCTGAAGGACATTTGTAGCCTCTGTAATATTATAAACTCGACCATTCTACTTTTCTACATTAGTATTTTGTACATCAGATAATCGCTTTCAATTGTGAAAGGCAAAGAAAAAAAAACAACCAAACAATGAAGTCTTAGCCTTGTAAGATTCAATTTGTTCATTTCCATACCTGCAGAACAGTTTTTTCCTCAGAGAATGAATAAAAGAACAAAGCTAACATCTGAAAAGTCATATTCTGGTCAAACTCTTAATCTGCATCCTAGAAAGGGCATCTAATGTAAATGTACTTACAGCATTTTTGAAAGAGAACTGCAAACTATGTATTTGCAATGTTTTTAAAAGAGAACTGAAAACTTGTTCTCTAAGGAGTTGGGAGTGGAAGAAAATTCCATCTTGACTCTTGAAAGAACTTTTTCCCTTAGCAGAATTGCTTTTATTTTTGAAACATCTCTAGGATGTTTTGAAAATAGAAAAAATAGAGAAATATAGATAAACAGTTAAAAAATACAGAAAACAGATAGGCCACAATCAAAACTGTTATTTCTAAAATCTCCCATTTTAATACAATTCATTCATCATTTTATTCTGTCTTGGGCATGCTGAATAGGCACACACCTTGGTTTTCCAAGTCAACAGCCAAAAATTCTGCAAAAGACTGTTGGCAACAGTCTTCAGAAATTGATATTTTTTTTAAAGGGCCCTGCACTAAAGAAAGCAAGAATTTGTCAAAACTTCTGCTAAGCCATTGCTGAATTCAGAAGAGTCTCCAAAAAGTTGGAGTTTACAGACATCTGATGGGACACAAAAAGGCAGCTCCTTATCTGGATCTGCTCTGTTTCACATCTCGTGTATGCGCCAACATGGGAAACAACATGGGGAAAAAAAAAAGCTTTGGTCTGCTTCTACTAGAAGTTTTGATAAGTAACTATCACCCTTTATTTTCCAGATCTTAGAGTGATGGGAGATGCACAAAGACCAATTGAGGAATCTGGCTCACAATGAAACAGTGGAGGATTTCTCCCTTCTGAGCTTTGGATGCTGTGATTCAGCAGCATGTCCATGTGCAAGAGACTTCCTTGTCAGAGGTAGTTTTTTAAATATCCTCAGGTTTCCTGAAAAATGCATCATGCTGGGATTCATTACTTCCAAAGGAAACGCATATAGAAGAAATGTCAAAATTGCCAGTGGAGTGACGAGGCCTTGGTGGATGCCCTGAAAATGATGCAGGACATCCAACAGCGCAATGTGCAGCTGATTAAAATGGAAATTACTTTTTCCAGTCTTCTAAAAACCAAAAAACTCCTCAATTGCAAGGGTAGTTGAAAGTGCAAAAAATTAGTCATGAAAATGAAAAATTTCAAAACACCACTAACACCCAGTAATTCCACTAACACAACTGAAAAAAATACCAACATGTGCTATCAAATCTGTTACCTTTTACTGGTCTTGAATAAAAACATCTTTATTGGTATAGGAAAAAAACAACTTTGGCATAAGCATGATCAAATGGAAAGAGGAATCATGCTCTGATAGCTTAATCCTGAAGCAGCTGAACACATTTTCCAAAGCTCATGGAAATTCTTCAAGAAAAAAGTTATTCCCTAGTTTTTTGCAGCACTCAGATTAGAGAAGACACAGATTTTAACGTGCTCAATTAAACTTCCACAGCAAATGTATTATTTCAGAAAGTCCTTATTTTCTATCCCATCATACCCCACTGGCTGAATATACACGGGCTATCGGTACATAGTGCACTTTCACCTCACAAGGAGCCTTTTAACACCATCTCCCATAACATCCTCATGGGCAAACGGATGCAGTCCAGGCTAGGAAAGTGGACAGAGAGGTGGAAAGAAAACTGACACAGCTCCTGGGCTCCCACGGTTGTGGTCAGCAGCACAAAGTCCACCTGGAGGCCAGGAACTAGCAATCAACCCCAGGGCCTGACACCAGGGCTCATCCTGTTTCACATCTTCATTAATGACCTGCACAACAGGGTAGAACACCCCCTCAGCAAGTCTGCACACACCACAGAACTGGGAGGAGCGGTTGATACAGCAGAGGGGTCTGCTACCCCTCAGAGGCACCTCGACAGGCTAGAGAAATGGGCTGACAAGAAACGCATGAAGTTCAGCACAGGGAAATGTCACATTCTGCACCTGGAGAAGAATAAATCTATGCGCTGGGTCAGACTGGGGATTAACCATATATAAAGCAGTCTGGACTTCTGCTGCGTTGAAAAGCAGCAGATGGACATGGGGGTGTCGTGGTTTATACAGTTGTTCTATCATCCAATGACTCCTCCACACCCAGGGAAGGGAGTTGGGAAAAGGAAAGGAGATCCACGTGTTGAAATGGAATAGATTTAATAAAACAATAAAAACTAATATTAGTAACAGTATTAATGTAAAGAACACAGCGTTATACTCAGCCAATACTGTGGGGGAGTAGGCCTCAGGAGTAGGACGGTATACAAGTCCTTCTCAAGACAAGACCAATGAAAGGAAGAGGGAGGAAGAAGGAAGAAGGGCCACCCCCAGTAAACTCCACAATTTTACAGTGAATGTGACACTTATGGTATTGGATAGTACTAATTGGTCAGCTTGGGGTAAGCATGGGGTCAACTACCCTGAGTTTCTGCTTCCCCCAGCCTCTGCTCCTGTTTGTCTCAAAATCGCTGAAGACCTTGATCACCACATCTCAGCATTAGCTGAAAACTATAACAAAGGCTTATCACTTTGTTTCCATGAAATAGTGTAGTAGTCCCTAGAAAATCAGAGTTTTCCTTAACAGAAAACCGACTCTAAAATTCTGTCTCAGTAAGCCAGGACAGGGGGTATCAGTTGATACCATGTTGTCTCTCAGCCAGCCATTTGCCCTTTGTGTAAAGATCAACATCACCTGCATTAGGGAAAGCATCAATAGCTGACTGAGGGAGATGCTCCATTCCCTCTGCTAAGCAGTGGTGAGATCACATCTGGGCTCCTGGATCCAGTCCTGGACTCCTCAGCACAAGAAAGAAGACATGGATGCACTGTAAAAAGTCCACTGAAGCACCATGAAGATGATGATGGGAACAAAGCACCTGACATATAAACAACTACCTGAAAAAACTGGTCTGTTTACTCTCAAGAC